ATTAAAAAGGAAGAAAAAAGGAAAAAAATAAAAGGAAGAAAAGAGAGAAAAAAAATGGATAAAGGAATAAAATTAGGAAGATATAGAAGAAGAAAAAGAAGTAGAACGAGAAGAAAAAGAAGAAGGAGAAAAAGAAGAAGAAGAAGAAGAAGAGAAAGAAGAAGAAGAAGAAGAAGAGAAAGAAGAAGAAGAAGAAGAAGAAGAAGAAGAGAAAGAAGAAGAAGAAGAAGAAGAAGAAGAAGAAGAAGAAGAAGAAGAAGAAGAAGAAGAAGAAGAAGAAGAAGAAGAAGAAGAAGAAGAGAAAGAAGAAGAAGAAGAAGAAGAAGAGAAAGAAGAAGAAGAAGAAAAAGAAAAAGAAAAAGAAGAAGAAGAAGAAGAAGAAGAAGAAGAAGAAGAAGAAGAAGAAGAAGAAGAAGAAGAAGAAGAAGAAGAAGAAGAAGAAGAAGAGGAGGAGGAAGAGAAAGAAGAAGAAGAAGAAGAAGAAGAAGAAGAAGAAGAAGAAGAAGAAGAAGAAGAAGAAGAAGAAGAAGAAGAAGAAGAAGAAGAAGAACCAGCCAGGATGACGAATGTTCGATTGTCAGTTAAACGGCGGAGATAAGAAACGCTGAATCGTATTCCTTATCAGATACCGCAATGACTCTACGCTTTTTGTTGATGTTCAATAAATGAGTACATTGTTCATCCCGCCCTGACTCACGCCTGACTCACTTCGCTGAGTTTTTGACACGGTGATTGACAGGCGACCCAAACAACATGGCGGCTTATCGACTCCCGGGGTTGGGTGACACTAAGGGCGGTTTTCCTGTTTGGTTGTGAAGGGAAATCGACCTTCGGGAGGGAAGGAGAATGGTGTGTTTTTTTATTGATTTGTTTGGTTGTTTGTTCTTTTAAAGCAATGGCGTTTTTTTCGTTTGTAAATTAGCGAGATTATGAGTTTATTTTGGCATGTTTACATGTGTTTTTATTTGTTTATTTATTGAGGTGAGTTAGATTTCGAATAAGTCGGAGAGTAGCAAAGAATTATTAATCTGTGCATTAATAAACGCAGTTCGATAAGATAAAACTCGATTTTACTATGCTTGCCTTTTATACCTTCTCCTCTCTGTGGCTTTGCTTTCAGTCACGTAATATCTAAATAAAACCCAAACTGACAACAATAAATACCGAGTTGCAGCATTTTTTTTATTTAATCTAATATATAATATCAACTTCTGACGCGGTGTCGGCTCATTTGTAACAGATAAAGTGGCGCCAACGTACGATAAGGGAGCTTCACCGTACGATAGTTTGTCGCCTTCGTTCGATAATCAGAGACCAGCTGGAATCCTCGTTTGGGCTGCCAGGTGTTTGTTGTCGCATGATTTTTTAATTTTTATTTTTTTTATTTATTTATTTTTTTTTTCATTTTTTTTATTTTTATTTATTTATTTTTGTTTTTTTTGGGGGGGCAGGGGGGTATTTTTTGTTTTTTGTTTTTGTTTTGGTTTTTGTTTTGGTGGGGATTGTGTGTTTTGTTGGTTTCGTATTGATAGATTGTTTGTTTTCAGGTTGACGTTTGGTTGGTCTATTTTGAAGAGAGGGAGAGGGAGAGGAAAAGGAAAAGGGATAAGAGAGAGAGAGATAGAAGGAGGAAAAGGTAGAGGTAGAAGGAGAATGAGAGCGAGAGCGAGAGCAAGAGCGAAGGAGAAGGAAAAGAAGAAGGAGAAGGAAAGGAAGAGGGAGAGGGAGAGGGAGAAGGAAAATTTGAAGAAAGAGAAGGAGAAGAAGAAGGAGAAAGAGACAGAGAGAAAGAAAGAAAGGAAGGAAGAAAGAAAGAGAAACACGTATTTATGTATGCATGCAAGTGTGTGCGTTTGCTTGTGCTTGTGTGTTAAGAGCAAATGCTTCCAGTCTGCCGCTTCCATAATATCATCGTCTCTCACTTCTATTTCTTCTCTTCTCTTTTATCCTCCTCTGCGTCTTTCTCCGATTCCATTTTTTTTCCATTTCCTTCTCTTTACACTTTCCACCTCTTTCGTGTTCATTTTAGAATCATTCTTCGTTTATTTTGAATTTCATTGCATCTCCGTTAATCTTTCCTCTTCGTTTTCTTCCTTTCTCATTTTTATCACTTCTTCCGTTTCTCCTTTTTCGAGTTTTTTTTTAGTGTTCTTTTTTTTATCTTTTTTCTAATTTTTGTTTTTCTATTTTTTTTTTTTTCGTCTTCTGCTTCTTCTTCTTCTGTCCTTTTCACCTCCCTCTTATCTTTCTTTACGTTCTTCTATCTCCTGTTCTTCTTAAAATGCTCGTATTTTCCTTTCTCTTTCTGTTCCTCTCCTGAGTTTTCCTCTTCCTACTTCCTTTCTGCTTTTCTGTTTAATTCTCTTCCTTCTCTTCTTTCCTTCCTTTTCCTACACCTGAGTCCTCCTTCTTCTGTCTCCTCTTTCTTCTCTTTCTCTTCCCCCCCCCTTTCATCCTCCTCCTTCATCTCCTCCTCCTCCTCCTTCTCCTTCTTCTTCTTCTCCTCCTCCTCCTCCTCCTCCTCCTCCTCCTCCTCCTCTCCTCCTCCTCTCCTCCTCCTCCTCCTCCTCTCCTCCTCCTCCTCCTCCTCCTCCTCCTCCTCCTCCTCCTCTCCTCCTCCTCCTCCTCCTCTCCTCCTCCTCCTCCTCCTCCTCCTCCTCCTCCTCCTCCTCCTCTCCTCCTCCTCCTCTCCTCTCCTCCTCCTCCTCCTCCTCCTCCTCCTCCTCCTCCTCCTCCTCCTCCTCCTCTCCTCCTCCTCTCCTCCTCTCCCTCCTCCTCTCCTCCTCCTCCTCCTCCTCCTCCTCCTCCTCCTCCTCCTCCTCCTCCTCCTCTTCTTCCCTCCTCATCTAATCTCCCGTCCCCTCCCTTCCCCCCTTCCCCCTCCTCCTCTTCCTCTTCCCTCCTCTCCTAATCTGTCTTCTTCCTCTTTCTCTTCCCTTATCTCTTCCACCTCCAAACAGCGTGAGTCAGAAAGCAGGAGACGCGGAGATACGGCTTATCTGTGAGATCCTTTTATCTGGCTCTTCATGACTCATACGTGGAGGTGGGAGGGACAACGTATGAGTGTGTGTGTGTGTGTGTGTGTGTGTGTGTGTGTGTGTGTGTGTGTGTGTGTGTGTGTGTGTGTGTGTGTGTGTGTGTGTGTGTGTGTGTGTGTGTGTGTGTGTGTGTGTGCATGTTTGTGTGCGTGTGTATATATGTGTGTGTGTGTGTGTGTGTGTGTGTGTGTGAGTGTGTGTGTGTGTGTGTGTGAGTGTGTGTGTGTGTGTGTGTGTGTGTGTGTGTGTGTGTGTGTGTGTGTGTGTGTGTGTGTGTGTGTGTGTGTGTGTGTGTATGTATGTGTGTATGTGCGTGTATTAGTGTTTGTGAAGCACATGTGTTATGAACATTAGCATTTGCTACTTATATGTATATGCGTATATACATGTATGCATATATTTGTACATATTTATGCGTATGTCCGTGTATGTTCGTTTGCGTGCGATCGTGCATGTCTATGTACATGTATATGTATATATATGTGTTTGTGCGTGTGCCTGTGTGTGTGTGTGTAAGCTCCAGTAGCGACGGGAGAGATAGTACGTGTCACAGATAGCAGCATTGCCAGTCCTTAGCGTCATGGTGTGAGTGAACAGTATATGTCAGGCAGTTCGTTCAGGTGGCGTAAAGCATCACAGCGTAGAGGGGGAAAAAGGTAGAGAAAGTGATGGCATGCCGATGGTGAAGGTGATGGTGATGGTGATGATGATGGTGAAAGTGATGATGATGGGGAAGGTGGTGGTGAAAGGGATGATGATGGGGAAGGTGTTGGTGAAAGTGATGATGATGGTGAAGGATGTGGTGAAAGTGATGATGATGGTGAAAGTGATGGTGATGGTGAAAGTGATGGTGATGGTGATGATGGTGAAAGTGATGTCATGCTAATGTTGATGACGATGGTGATAAAGGGAAAGGTAAAGAAACTGTAAGGCATTGTCAAACCGATGGTGACGGTGATAGTGACAATGGGAAAGGTAGAGAATGTGGTGTCAAGCCAATGGTGAAGGTGAAGGTGACAGAGGAAAAGGGTAGAGAAAGTGTACAGTAACGCCAAGGCGATGGTGATGGTGATAGGACGTCATTCGTAGGATAGTGAGAGAAGAGGATAGTGAAGCAGGCCTCGTGTTCTCGTGTTCCTCCCGCACCGTCAGGAGGCAGCAGGAGGCTGTGTTGGGGGGGTGGGGGGGCGCTAGGTTTTAAAGGGAGGGGGAGGAGGGGAGGAGGAGGGATTTGGGTAAGGTGATGGGAGGGCTTTAAGTGGAGAGTGAAAAGGGGGGAGGGGGGAGAAAGAGAGAACGGGGGCGGGAAGATAGAAGGGGAGGTGGGGAGAGAAGGGAGAGAGAGAGAGGGGAGAAGGAGGAGAAGGAGAGGCGAAAAAGAAGGGGGGAAAGACAGAAGTAGAGAGAAAAGAAGGAGAAGGAGTGAAAGAAGAGGGAGAAGGAGAGAGAGAGAAGAGAGAGAAAGGGAGGAGAGAGAGAAAGAAGGGGGAAGACGGAGATAGAGAGAAGAGGGGGAAGAGGGAGAAGGGGGTCTGCGTTCCCTCTCTGACGCCCTTTCCTCTGCAATAAACCACACCCATTCAACATTATTGCAATGAATACTCTAAATCTAGTAATTCATTTGCACACAAATAATCATAATACACGTTTTCCTCTTTATATTACGTAATCACAACTATCCTCTAGAGTTACCATTAAGTATTCCCATTAAATATACACTATAGTTACCATTAAGTGTCCCATGAAATATACACCAGAGTTACCATTAAGTATTCCCACAAAATATACACTATAATTACCATCAAGTATTCCCATTAAATATACACTTAGAGTTACCATCAGTATTAAATATACCCTTAGAGTTACCATTCTTATATATATCCACATCCATCCTTCGCCAAGCCCAGACCCATATCAATACTTTCCTTTCAATCCTAACTTTTTCCCGTTTCTCTCCCTCAGATCCTGGCTTGGTGTAGCGCGAGACGGCAGGGTCAGCTCGAGCACAATGGTGAGCCGCGGTGTTTTCCCTTTTTTGAACGAGGAGGAGGAGGAGGAGGATTTAATTCGTTTGTTTGTTTCTTTTGATCTATATCTGTCTATCTGTCTGTATGTGTCTATGTGTATATATGTGTCTATATGTATATGTGTCTATATGTGTCTATATGTATATATGTGTCTATATGTGTCTATATGTATATATGTATATATGTATATATGTATATATGTATATATGTATATATGTATATATGTATATATGTATATATGTATATATGTGTATATATGTGTATGTATATGTATGTATATGTATGTATATGTATGTATATGTATGTATATATATGTATATATATGTATATATATGTATATATATGTATATATATGTATATATATATATATATATATATATATATATATATATATATATATATATATATATATATGTATATATGTATATATATATATATATATATATATATATATATATATATATATATATATATATATATATATATATATATATATATATACATACATATACATGCTTATATATGTGTATATGTATATATGTATATATACATAAATATAAATATATACATGTATATATATATATATATATATATATATATATATATATATATATATATATATATATATATATATATATATATGTATATATATGTATATATATATATATATATATATATATATATATATATATATATATATATGTATATATATATGTATATATGTATATATATATATATATATAATATATATATATATATATATATATATATATATATATATATATATATATATATATATATATATGTGTGTGTGTGTGTGTGTGTGTGTGTGTGTGTGTGTGCACGTTTGTATTTACATGTACATATACGGCCATAACTGTAAGTCGTCATCTTATAGCTAACCGAAAAAGAAAAGAAGAAAAGAAAACTGTATGAATTTGCAGAGGCTTCAGCAAACCTTTTT